AAATAACTATTAGCAATCTGATCCAAACAGAAACCCTTAAGTTTGTTTCAGAAAGTAGCCAAAACTTGGCTGTCCTTAAAAAAATAAATAAATAAAATAAAAAGACTCCATTTTGTTCAATGATCAACCAAAGTGTTCAATCAATATTTCATGTATAATGCATTCAATTTCAACATGCCAAACAATACATTTGCACAGATGGATTGATTTTTATTGTCCTAAGTGAAGGAGATACTAAAACTCAGGGACAGTGTCGATAAAAAAACAAAACAAAAAAAATTTAAAAACACGAGTGCGGGAAATGTGAATTAATGATAAGAAATGCAATATTGTCCAAAATGCTGTTCAGCCCAGCATTACTACATCACTGCATCGAATTTCACCAGTGTTACTGGCAGCAGTGATGGGCGGACTGATTAAATCATTCACAAAGCCATAAAAGTATCCACACTAAAAACACACTTCATTGCTGACGCTTTCTGTTGACCTGCGTGAAACACAAACACAACTGGCAACACCAAATCAGAAACATGGACTGCTGCGACAGGCTGAGTCAGTGGATCAAAAGTGGATGTGATGTTTCCACGAAAATGTAATTATCTTTTCTAAAATCGCTGAAAAGCAAAAGTGCTTTTTTTTTAACACTGGCATTTGTACCAACACACGAGGTGAAAACCATGTGCTTGATTAGTCAGCCACCTCATTTGAATCCAGGAGGAAGGTGGGAGACAACAGAACCAGCCATGCAGATGAGCTGAAGGTCGCTGCTAAAGCGACCCGGGCTTCCTCAACTCTTTGGCAGAACCACAGGTTGATGAAATTCATGCAGTAATTCATGCTAAATAAAAAAACACACAAAAAAGACAGTGGCGAGCAAGCACTGCGTACACGGATACACTCTTCAGTTGGCTAAAATTTCTTCACAAGAAAGATTATGTAATGTTCTACTTTTAAGATAAACCCTATTTTTTACTAAATAAACATGCATCAAAGATGTAAATTCAATTACCGCCATAAAATAGTCTGATTTATTTAGCTGTACTTTTCTTTTCATGTTGATGCAAAAAACAAAATGAAACTAAAAATATATGGTTTCTCCAGCTCCATGGAGGTGTGTTGATGCGTTGTTGCCAGTTCCTGGGTAAGTGTGACTGTATCGAGGAACAACCTGATAGAAATGTAAGTTCTGGTCTCTCCTCCTTTTAATAGAATGATGTTGTAACTTCAGCTGGAGCTGCCAGAAGTGCACCCAGAGTCAAACCCTGCAAGTGTGTCTCGGGCTTAAAACAGCAACAAAAGCACTCTCAGCTTGAGACATCAAAGACAAACAAACAACACACACTGTGACACGACTGAAAGTGGGAGCAGACCACCTGCTAATCCAGCCTCTGCCCACGTTTTCATTTGGGCTGATCAGCCTCTGTACCTTTCGATTTTGCCCCGCCGTGTCCATTGATGGTGGATCCGATTGAATCCTTCCGTATCCGTTTGCTGGGAGGTCGGACGCTCGATCGCAGAAAATGATGCTGGTCGTGACACGGAGGGGTGGATTCCGCGGAGCTCTGGGGCTGCGGGTTCGAAGCCGCTCCGGTCCGGTTCGGCAGGGATCCGGGGAGGACCGGGGCCGGACCGGGGCTGGGACCCGTGGCTGATGGATTAAGAATTTCCACTCGCTCCTCTCCCTTTGTACTGCGCTCGTCGCTCGCCTGCTCTCCGCTCTCCTCCTCGCCGCAGCCTTCGAGCTTTCTGGTCGGATTCGGCTTCCCATCGACGCCGATCGCCTCCCTGGAGCCCAGTGTCATGCTGCCAGGGACACATTCAGAGGGAAATCGTTCAATTAGGAGCGACGCGTTGGGCAAAATTAACTTCTAAAGACGACGGTCACTGTCTCTCAACATGGCCGCCGCTGTTTGTTTCAAATCCCCTCTTCAAGTCCCGTCAAAACAACGCCAAAATGTAGAAATTAACCAAACTGAAATGCAGCGAAATCAACAACGGAAGCTGTTCGGCGACTGGCGCGGGTGTTTTACCGAGAATCCCTCGTCTTAAACATGCAATAATATCGCAATAAATCAAACTAAATCCCAAACGCGAGCGCTTTTCAGTTTAGCGCCCTGCAGAAACGACGACGAGAGGATCCGCTCGCTGCGTTCGACCTCTAAATAAAGTGTTGATTTCAACCCCGTTTTTACCCATTTTCGAGGTCTTCGGAGGCGGAGCACGTCTTCTTCCTCTTCACCATGAGTCCGACCGCTTTGCTTGGCAATTACCGATCAAATTGAGCATAATAAAGCCGAAAGCGATCCCTCTGCTCGCCTGCCCTCTCCTTGCTCCTGCTTCGACTGAGCTGAACTGTGCGCAGTTCAACTGTTTTCAATCGGCAACAACATTAACTCAACGAGCTTTTCCCTTGCGATGATGAATGCAAATAATAACGATAATAATAATGAAAAAAAAAACATTTCAAATTTAATAGACGCATCTTCAGACGTGGATGAGCAATTTCCAAAAGCTTTCAGTCAGCCGAGCCCGTTTAAAACAAGTATACATAGTTACACCAACAGGACTGCATGGAGACTTGACAATACGTCACAATCGCCTACAGAAATTATATCAGCAATGCAAAGTATTTTTATTGCACACATTTTAGCTGCGGTGCTTAAATTTACTCCTTAGTGTCGCCCTACTTATTATATGTGATGCGTTCCTCAAACGGACGCCAATCAATCTTTGTGATCACAAATGAAACATTAAGTCCAAACGTTTTACTCTTGGATGACAGTGTAATGATAAGGTCTCTCATTCTGTGTAATCTTCTGCAATCCTGCCATACAACTGTGCTATATTACCCCCAAGTCGTGCAGTACAAAATTGCAGTAAAAGAAATAGAAACAAATGAATACATACATATTTTAAAAATGAAATATGCCTTGTCTGAAAATGAAGAGGCTGCACATTCTCTGTAAGGTGACGTAAAATCTTTAAACCCCTCCATGTGTCCCACCTTACAGCTCTCTCTGCGGTTGATCAGGTATGAAAGGGTCAAGAACTGTTTTTATATTTCTTTTATATAAATTTATGACGCAATATCTTCCTGTATTTTTGACAGTTGCAACAGAGGCAGAGTTGTGCGCCAATAATTGCGCGTCTCGCCTCTTTTAAACCTTATTAGAAAGGCAGTCGCATGTCAGCAAAAACACTTACACAAAGAAAGCGAACAAAGTTAAAAACATTTTTCATTCTTGACATGCAACTATTCAAAGAGCTTTGAGCTTCTCGGATGCTCTCAATAGATTAGCTTTTGTCATAAAATGCTAATAACACACAGAAGAATGACGGTTTTGGAATAACTAGCTGTGTCCATAAATTGCTCTTTAAATGGGCATTGAAAAACATTTAGAAAAGAACTCTTAACATGCATAAGGTGCTACCTAGCATAGCTGCTAATGCTGCTAGGTTAGCTAACGTTAACGCCAAGTCGTTGAAACTCGCTAAAATGTCGCTAAACCGCATAACTAAAAAAATACAGTTTTAAAAACTAGATCCCAGTCCCTGCCCAGCGCAGCTGAGTTGAAGTATTACCTGAAGTTGAAGCTTCCCAATGGTATTCCTAACCGAGAAGGAGGCTTGCATTGCTAACCGTCTGCAACCTGGCGCCGATGACAGCTCCCGGGGAGTCCCGCCTACTACAACTCAAAACAAAAGCCGTGATTGGTCCACTGTTTAGGAGGGGGGCGGTTTGAAAGCTAACTGACGGCGAGATCCGCCAACCGTTGCTGAGAGAAGACTCACAAAGAACCAATTGTGTTTTTCTTCCTGTCATGCCCCGTGAATTGTCCGTTCAGAAACTTTGAAGATCAAAAGCAGTTTTTACTCTTTTGATTAAAAACGTGTTGTATCCCAACATTTTATTGAATAAACCGCAACAAAAAAAATGTTTTTCTTCCAGAATTAGTTTCTCCGAAATTGACTTTTGACCACCAAAAATTCAACGGGTGGAATCTGGAGGATATGTTTGAATTTTTTATCGGCGTATCCCAAAAAACGCAGACGAAAGAGTATTGGATTCTCCGTAAGGGTTCGGATTGTACGTAATCGTCGCCGCCATATTGTGAGTGTCATATTTTAGCCTGTTCAGTTTAAAGGATTTTAAGTAAAACTGTTTTATTGTCTGATCTGTTGTTACAGTGTGAGATTTTTTAAAATATTAGCTGAATAAATTATAAAATACATCATTTAAACATAAATTCTAAGGTGGTTATTTTGTAGAAAAGTTTCTATTTAATCATGTTTACGTGCCTAAGATCTCTGTGGTTTAGAAGAATTCATTGAAGCACAGATGATTATGTCATGACTTTAAAAGTTTCTCACAGGTCAGTCTGCTACTTTTCAATGTCACAGAGGAATACTTGTGAATGTATTTTAAGGCAGCTCAGCAAACGTGCTGGTTCTTGAGCGATATTGTCTAAAAATAAGAAAAATAAAATAGCTAACATTTCAATAATACCTCTAATTTTTAAAAGTATTTTATGACTATGTGTCAGACTCAAATTAATGTAAGTTTCAGTTTTTCTGTTTACACTTCTGAGACTGTTTAAGTGCCTTGGAAAGAATTGCTTTTCTAAGGGGAACTTGCCACTCACAATATGGCAGACGCCTTTACGCAAATATAAAAAGATATATAAGCAATTTAAAGTAGGTTGTATTAGTGCATATGAAAAAGAGCTTTGTACCGTTATTTTCCTGGAAAACATTGTTTTCCGTAGCAAACTTGCCACTCACAATAACGGTGGGCCCGTATAAGTGTCGTTTCTGCAAGGTAAGGAAGCTACTGAAGCATCAACTTTTCGTATATGCAAAACTTATAAAAAAAAATACAAGCATTTGTGTCTTAGGAAATAAGACTCCGCCAGTCGCCTACATTTTCTTCTGTGGGTGACTAAACCAAGCAAACCCTGTTGCTGCGCAGTTGACCGCTGACCAATAATAACACTCTGCGTCACAGCTGGGTGGAGTTAAATTCTTCGGGACTTTTGTTGGCTGCAGCACAGACAAGGGGCGAAGTTATTGGTCGTCTAGGTGGCGAACTGAAGAAGTTTCCTTCTTAAACTTGACGTAGTTCAAACGAAACCACCATGACTTCGACGAACATGTTCCAAGGATTGGATACTGGTGGAAAACCAAGTTCCAGGTGACTATAACGCCGACCAACGGCTAGTTTAGCCGAAAGATAGAGGCTTATTTTGACTGTTGATAAACGTTGGGTAACGTTTTTCGCGTTCTTGCAACGTCACTTGCTAATTCCTTCAAACATGAAGCTGTAACTATGTTGCTTTTTTGTTTTGTTACCATGGTAGTTTTACATAATGTAATATGATCATTTACCCAGCTTCATACCCAGTTATTGTTTAAGTTAAACTCAAGCGTCAAGATAGCCTCCAAGCTAGCCTACCAGGCGTTGTCTGTCCCTGCGGAAGTGAGAAATGCTCTACAGACTACTCGTCTTTGTATTGACCAATAACAGCGGCGTGGTCACATTGCTCTTGTTACTCAGGAGTGTTTTCTTTTACTATCATTCGAAAACACCAGCTATGCGGTCAACCTCACTAAACAGTCGACTGCAAGGTAGCTGGATCCTCTTTTAAAGAGATATTGTCAAACTAAAAAAAAAAAAAAATGTTTTCATGCATACAGCTTTATCCCCGAGCACATATAATCAAATAACATGTAATTTGGCTGCGCTTATAGTATGTTTGGCTGCCACATTATACAGGCAGATTACATACTGTTTATGTCTATACTTATTTTTAAAAAATATATGCATTATTTTGTGCGTTTAACCAGATCCGTCCTGAAAATAACTACTCACTACTATTTAGGCTCAACCAGAGTCCCAGTGTCGTCTTGAAAATATAGTTTGCTTTTAGTCTTTTTTTTCCTCCAGAGATGTACAAGTATGTGAAAGCTTTTGTGTTTTCAGATCCTATTCTCAATTTCCTAAAAGACAAAAATTTATTTCTAAAGTAAATTGGTTTTTTTTTTAGAACTTGAGTACACATGCTTTATTTTGACAACAAACAAGGTTTTAAAACAACAGTTAGCGCATGACATGGAGCCTGTGCTTACTTTGCACCAGTTGTTCTTCTTTTCAGCGCCAACACTCAGGCACAAGAATTTGAAAAACTGGAGGTATGGCTGAGCGGTAGAACCACTTTTCAAGATATTCAGCTATGAGATTTCGTGTCCTATTTCTGATCTCAAATCTTTTTAAAAAACTAGAATACATAAATATTACTTTTAGCCGTTCAGCCCATTTTATTATCTGTAAATGAGAGCTCTCAAAATAGGCTTTTAGCTTATGGGCAGAATGAAATGTTAATTGCTTTGGTAATTAAGTGTTTATAGTATTATATAAAAAAAACATAGATTTTTACCATCTCATTGGTCATCTACTAATACAGTAGTGCACTCCAGATTATGGGACAGTGGTGTTTTATACAAATAAAATTAAACTAAAAGCACTTACAGGACATGCAATTTATTCTTATTCTTCTTCAATTTTAATGAAAAATATTTAACAGTTCTAATTCTCTATTTGACAAGAAAAAAAAGAAACCTTAAATTTGTAGTTTGTTTAAATAATTCATTATTAATTAATTGTAACTGTAAAGGAGCCTTTTTTGTCAAGATGGAACATTAAATATTTACAGAAGCGATGTCGTCCTGTGTGTGAGAGCGCTTTAGCTGTTAAACATGATCAAATTATTGTTAAAGAGAAGAAAACACACAGAATTGACATTTAAACAGTTGTTAGCATTAGCATAGTTGGTGCAGTTTGAATGGTCGGCACTGCTGACTGTAAATATGATTCCCTATGTGTATTTCCTGTTGATTTACTAGATGCTTGATAGTAGAAGTGAGAACAGTATGTTTAGTAATAGATAAAATTAGACTCTTCCAATGAATAACAGATTGAAACAGAACAACTTTGCTGTTCTTTATTCACCTTCCTTTATTATATCTGCTGATCATTTCTTCAATATATTTGTATGTAAAGATTGAAATAATTCTTTTGCACAGTACTCTATGTAACTGCTCCACTAAGCACTAGAAATGGAAAACGTGTTTTAAATTTCTGAACGCTGAAGACTTCAATTCTAACCTTGGAGTCTTCTGAATACCTAAGCGGTATGTTAGTTTAGAGATATAAACTTAACAAAAGAATAAAAAGGTTATCTGTCCTCGTTTCCTAGTGAAGGAATATTTGTGTGTCTCAATGAGATAAGAGTCTGTAAGGTAAGAGTTATTGCTTTGATTGTCCATGCAGGGTGCTGCAGCCTCCTGGTGGCGGCTCCAGTAACCTTTTTGGTGGCTATGAAGAGGACAGCGCTCCGTCCAGACGGTCTAATAGGATGGCCTCTAAAGTTTTTGCCGCACCAGAGGAGCCCCAAAATGTATCCAGACGCTCCAATCCTCCAGGTCAGCTTTGTCCAAGACTACAGTGTGAAAGTTGTGAGTCTGATGTGATAATGCTAGTATAAATATAGCTCCTATGTGTCTCCTCATAACTCTCCTCTGGGTTCTGTCAAGTGCCTGATAAAACCAAATCAAATCTGAGCTCAGTCGAGCTGTTGAAAACTTGTCTGCATTTTGTTTTCCTGTCATTAGATTGTGCTCACAACGTGACGCAAATTTGTTTCTACACCCAAATTACAGTTTAACGTTGTTGAAACGTGAAGAAAAATGAATGGAAACATTCTTTAATGTCCGTCAGTGGGTAATGTCAGGTTTTCCAGCAGCTTGATGGCAGACGGACTGAAGCATGCAGAATCATATTGGGTACAATATTTTAAAAAATGGTACATTTTACAGTAAAGGTAAATTGACAAAATATCAAACTCGAATTCACAGAAATGTGCAGCTGTATAAAACCATTTTCTGTGAAACACCTTCGGTATTTAACTGTAGAGCTCAGCGTCATCCAGACTTTATTAATGCTGCAAAGTGTGACCACAGCTTGCTGATACTTTGTGCAGGTGGAAAGAGCAGCGGGATATTCGGGGAACCCGAAGCACCATCTCAGCCACAGAGACCAGTACCTCCAGGTGGAGCCTCCAGCAACATATTTGGGTCTGCAGAAAGCACACCTCTTGTAAGCTCCAGCCGAAGCCACCCAAACAAGCCAAAGGTAGACCAGAAGCCCATTTTTTGGTCTCTTTGATTAAAAACCTCAGTTTCTATTAAAAACGTGGCACCTTTTTGTGCTTTGATTCCTCCTATTTGGCCATTGATGACTTTTACTCTGACAAGTTTCAGATTCTTCTCCAGGACTCTTCATTTAACTTTCTTGCAGCCCCAGAACTTATTATATTGTTACAGTTTTTTTTAAAGGCTACTGAAATGCAATCCTTAAAATGTCAGATTTGTCTCTAGTTATTAATCTCAGAATGGGACTAAGCACAAAATAAAATAAAATTTACTAACCACATTATTACAAAATAGGTTGTGGGTTTATGAGAAGCGATAAATAATAATGAAAAAAGTAGTTGTGTGGAGATCTCTAGTAAATGTTGAACCTTTCATCTGTTGATCCAAAGGAAAACGTTTCAGTACTTGAAACACATGGCTGATTAAAAATAATAATTTAAAAATGAATTTGGAAAAGTCAATTTCACATATGGCACCACAGAACTAATGCAACTGTCTCAGGTTTGTGTCGTAGAGTTGCCTGAACTCCTGAACCATTGATCATTTGTGGCCAGTCACAGGATTTGGTGTAAAACTTCTCATTTTGCTTGAGGATCCAAGAAGAGAACCTCCGATTGAACTCGTTGTACCATCTCTTCCCTTCTTCACCACCTTGCTCCTGTCCTATGATTTACTTATTTAAAAAATTCAGCTTGTAGTTTCACTTAAAGTTTTCACACTGCATGGAGTGGAAGTGATTGTTGTCATGGCGCCAATAAACAGAAAGTCTCTTATATTCACTTACTCAATAGCTACTTAGGCTGCAGTGTCACCGGAATCAGATTCATGAAAAATAAAATGTATTTTAACAAAAAAAGAAAGGTGTAAATAACAACAAAAAAAATCTGTTGCACCCTCTGACATTGTTGCATTTGCAGAAAATATAATTTATGTCTGAAATTTCCAGTCATAGTTAAAATGCTTCTGCGACTACAAACTGTGTGTTATTACTGCTTTGTCATGCAACACAACGTAATTGTGACGCATATCACCTGGTTTGATAGAGTTTCACAGAGAACATATATATGTATGTATGCATGTATGTAATATATATTTTTCCCCATCAAAATGAAATTTAATTAATCTTTTTTCATTTTGTTCTAAAACAAATGTATCTGATTTTATTGCAGGACAATCTAAGTGTGGGACCTGAGCCTGAATCACCAGGTGAGTTAATGTTGTCGGTTTTCAAAGTGTTTATTTTTGCTAAAAGACATGAATATGGAAATAGATTAGCTACAAGCCTGTGCTTGGTACTTGCTTAAATGGATCATTTGTTCTCAGTCCACACAGTACTCGTAATTCAGTGAATGCTTTTTAGTAATATTAGCCCAAATTTTTACATTATTGTTACCCTATATATACCTTTATTAGCTCTGTGTTGCATTTATTAAGAGTAAATATGGTACAGCATTCGGTCACATGGGAAAGACTCTCTTCTTTTCAGGAATCTAAATCTAGCAAAACTATTTATTCCACTAATCTGCTACTTATTGTAGAAACTTCCCCTCTGTTTCTGAGGCAGACTTTAAACACAGTACTGCTAAAGTCTTAGAAACAAAAGATTTTTTTTTCTGCCCTAGGACTGCAGGAGATGTTTGTGATTGCACCTTAGCTTCTTCTGTTGGACATGAAGCAGTTTTCATTTACTGCGACGCCTCGTCGTTAACCATCATTTGAGAAACTTCTTCTTATTTCTCCTTTAAGCACCTGATGCCAAAGTGAGCCAGCCAGCAGTGAAGGAGGAAGTGACCAGCCCTGCGCCTGCTCCAGCTCCAGCTCCAGCTAAGGAAGAGCCTCCGGCCGTCTCGGCCAGTCCAGATCCAAAACCTGCCGCTGTGGCTCCTGACGAGACAATGACGAAGAACCATGAGCCTCACCTGGGGCCCAAGCCTCGCTCTCACAACAGGGTCCTCAATCCCCCCGGAGGAAAGTCCAGCGTGGTTTTCTACTGATGATCACACACACACACGTCGCTTCTCCCAGTTTGTTCATCGTTTGCATCCCTGTTGATTGTCTCTCATTCCTGTTCTGCACCTCCAACGGTTAATTCATCTACTGTCAATCTTTTGGTGCTGTTGTCCACATCAGATTTCTGATTTCTAGTTGTTTTTCCAACTTTTTTTTTACACTTTTCTCTCTTTGTCTCAGTCCTGTCTTTTTGACTCTTCACCCCTCTCCCTCCTCCTCACTGAATCCTGCAATGATACAATCACACACAAGTCAATCAGCTAGCGAGGTATTTCCTACTCAATATAACTGTAACAGTGTTCAAGCTCAGTTGTGCGGTTGTTCTTGTTTGTATTTTGAGGATGTGTAGATTGGATGAAAACAAATTTTCCAAATTAAATAGAGAATTTTTATTTTTAACCTCAGGACCTGAATTTACATTGTGGAGCTGACACTGATCAATAAACCTAATATGTAGCCTTTCAGTCAGGAAAGTGAAATAGATGTTTGTTTTTTTTTCTCCACACCAAAGTTTTGTGCAAATGTTTCAAGAAATTTTGCATCCTTTCAATATTTTTGATCTGTCAGATCCTTAGTTTTTAACATTCAAATGTGTAATTAGATACCTTATTAGCTTAGCATTTGTCTTTTTTTACTGTTTCCTAACATGTAGACTAAAATGCAATCTGTACGGGTGCCAAAAAACCCCCACAATCAAGCAAATATGAATCCTAAGATTGACTTTTAATTGTTTCCTCAAAGTAAATTCCATTTTGATTGTATGTGAATGTATTGTGCTGGTACTTCTCTGCTCTGTCCTCGTTGCTTGCATTATCTGAGAACATGCCTTTCTTCTGCTTGGGGTCAGCCTCTGTTTATGTTTTAAATTAAAACGGCTGAAGACGTGTGAACTCTAAACAAGCTCGCAGCCCACCTGACTGCAGGTGGGCTCCTCTGGTCGCCTCTTTCATCATCCACATCATCAAGCACAGACGAGTTATTCCGACGGCCAGCCTGTCCCCTCTCTGTTTGACGTGCCTGGCAGCAAATGAGTGCAGCAGACGAAAGGAGTCCTGTGTATTGAAATAAAACTTTTGTTTTGCATTTGAGCTTCGTTTTGTTTGCACTCCAAGAACGTGGAAGCGTCTCTTGACGACCTTGATTTCACTGAAGAGTAACTAAAATCATCTACATGTCAATCACACTTGGGTGTGACATGCATTTGATCTTGTATGTTAACGTTTGATTACAGCTGAAGAAAACGACTAGTTAGGATGCATTTTATAGATCTCAGGCAGCACATCAAGCTGTCATGGATGTGATGCAGAGAAAAGCAACCTTGCATTCAGAGTACTTTTTTTTTTTATTAATATTTTATACCCAGAGAAAACCAAACCAATGTAAATATTAAACATGAAATCTCCAGACAGGTAGAAAAGGTTTATTTAAAAGGGGAGAGTGAGGCTAGTTTGTTCTACCAACTTTTAGAAGATTCCATCAAGACATGTTTTTCTCAGCAAAACAAACAAAAAAACTTGTGGCTAGCAAAAGTATTGTCGTCCTCTCCCCACATTCAACAACCACAAACCTTAACACTTTGTTTTGACAGGCCAACACACAAAGTAATGATTGCAAGCGAAACTGGATCGACTTGCGTCTTTCTATGGTCGTGAAATGATCGCTGATTTCATGCTCTGGGCTTCAGTCTGTGAGGAACAAAACGCTGCTGACTCACTGACTGTCACAAGACACATCACACGAGATATTCCTGTTTTCTGTGTTTAAATAACTGAACCCTGATAAGCACTTAATTGGATTGTCTACATAGCAAATATACAAAGGAAAATGTATCTATCAATTTTATAAATTGGGTAAGTAATGTTAAAATGGTGGTTAGATGTAAATACTGCCTGTTGCCCACTATATAAAGTGATTTATTGAACATTTTGAAGAGTCTGGTCGTTATGATCAAGAGTCTGGCATCAGTCATTGATGCGGATACAAGTCAAGTAATTCTCCGTCAGAAACATCTGAGCTTCCGGTTTAATACCTTCAAAGTAAAACTAACAGGAATAAGCAAAGGTAAAAAGAAAGAAAAAGCCTACCCACTGCAGAATTCCTGTGTACATATGGATAATTAAGTGGCCCATTTGAATAATCTGTAATTCTGATACAAAAGTTTTAGTACTTCAACGGCCTTTAATGCGTTTTTAGATAAATATTTTCTTAATTATGGTTTTTATTGAGCGGGAAACTACAATTACAATACTTATTACTCAATTCATAGCAACAAATGCTAAATGAATTATTTTTCTGAAATGAATTGCATGGTTGTGTTTTTGGTTTTTTTTTTTCTTCAGGGAATAACATTTTGACTATTTTTTTTCTTCTCAAATAAGAGTAGCATTATTTTAATGTGTTTTTACTTAAGTAGAAGTAAAAAATAGTTACACCCACAAAAAACAAAAACATTCTAAGTAAAAGTAGGAAGGTTTTTTTTTTTTTTTTTTTTTAAAGAAAAAGGCTATTGAAGTTCTGGGTAACTTCATACCATCTCATTTAATTTGTTACAATGACTTGATTTGACAGAGAAAAACTATAAAATGTGCCTGCATATACATTAGTACAGTAAAAAGTTTTTTCTTCACTATTCAGTACATATACATGGCAATTAATCATAATGGTACTGAAATATGTTTTTCATTTTCAAGAAAATTAGTCAATTTAATGTAGTTAGACCTGCTAACTAGTTTTAGTCAGCATGAAAATAGAGAGAGAAAAAACAGAAGGACAAAGAAATAATTAAGTGCATCCACATTTCTTTCAAAAAGGAGTAGCTTATATTTTCTGTCCCAATTAAACTAGAAAGCGAAAAATTTTCCATTCAAATTGAGCAACAGACATTCACTTCAAAGTTCTATGCATGTGTGTGTGTGTGTGTGTGTGTGTGTGTGTGTGTGTGTGTGTGTGTGTGTGTGTGTGTGTGTGTGTGTGTGTGTGTGTGTGTGCGTGTGTGTGTGTTGATCTGGAAAAACTCAGGTTTGGGGTTGCTTTAATAGGAAAAGGTCAAAAAGTAGAAACAGTTTTGAAAAAATAAAATAAAAATAAATAAATATGCCCCACTACTTCATTCAATAATTAAAGATCAAACAAGAACAATACAATTAAGAACTTAAACGCAATAATGTCTTTTGAAGAAAGGTTTCTAAATCGTCCAGCAGAGGTCCACGCAGACACGTCGAAGCAGCTTTTATTTTGAAGGCGTGCAGCTGTTTCCTTGTCCGCGTGCGCCAACTTGACTGATTGCAGACGGCGTGACGTGGGGCTGACTCGGTCAGCTGGCTCCTCCATCTGAGCCGCAGGCAGAGCCTCTCCCAAAAGGGAGACATCACCATCAACGCCCGACGCAGCTTCACCGGCGGCCCGCCGGAAGAGGAGACAAACATGGGCGGAACGCGGCGGTAGCGGCGGATCGGCAGACGCGGACTATTCACTCCCCTATTTATCTATTTATTTATCTATTTATTTCCCCCGCCAGCGTCATGGCAGGGGTCCATGGCTGCGGCTGCTGAGAAGCAGGTGCAACATCATCGTCGGAGGCTTTTGGCTCCTCGGCATGGGCCGGGAGAGGGCCGAACCCCGGGCTGGATCACTCCGTGGGAGGGGGCCAAAGGCTGGGCCGCGGCTGGGGGCCAGAGCCTGCTGAGACCGCAATTGATGAAACGCTCCGTGAATATCAGCGCGTTTGATCCAATATGGCCCTTTTACAGCTCAAGGTTATCCGCACACAGCAGCACGCGTAACCGGCGCATCTGCAGAACATGGAATAAGCGCTTCCTGCAGATTCCTGTTGGAGGAAACACGGAGAATAAATAGCCTCTATTTCCCACCCTACGTGCTGCTGACTGGATCATAACACTGTGACAGTCCAGCCTTACAGGCCCTGAAATTTTTTTTCATTATTATTATTTTTTTGGCTTATATAGTCTTGTTTGGATAAAACAGAGCGCAGCTGCCAAGATGATGGAGATAGACGAGGTGGTGTACCAGGACGACTACGGCTCCGGCACCGTGATGTCGGAGCGGGTGTCGGGCCTGGCCAACAGCATCTACCGGGAGTTCGAGCGGCTCATCCACAGCTACGACGAGGAGGTGGTGAAGGAGCTGATGCCGCTGGTGGTCAACGTCCTGGAGAACCTGGACGCGGTGCTCACCGAGAACCAGGAGCACGAGGTGGAGCTGGAGCTGCTGAAGGAGGACAACGAGCAGCTCATCACCCAGTACGAGCGGGAGAAAGCGCTGCGTAAGCAGGCGGAGGAGGTGAGCAACGCGCACTCCTCCATCCTCATCCTCACCTCACCAGTCCTGGAAAGGATTGGCTGTTTTTTATTTGTTTTTTGTCATCATGCTTTATGTGTGTGGAGATTTTTACACTCTTACGTATACGCAATAATAGATGCATTACAAAGAAACAGACAGACTGTAGTTATTACTGTACAGTGACAGAGCCGGTCCATGGCAGAAGCGAACCTGGTTGCCTCCTGCTTGGGCCCCCGGGGCAAGCAGGGGGCCTCCACCAGCACTTCAAAAAAAAAAAAACAACAAACAAAAAAACAAACAAACATTCTGTTCTTAGTCAACCTTCAGATAATCGGTGGTTGGTTTTGTATAAATGGATCAACTCCTCCTCCAACACACAATAAAACACAGAATAAACTAACAAAAAACTGTTTTAACGCTGTAGCTTTCCAGGAACGCTGCAAACTAGACATTCATTTTATAGACATCAGACACATGTTCAGGATCAGTGTGAAAATAAATCAATCCTTGTCTGACCTGTTGATTTTTAAATTTTTAAAAAAGTTTTCTCAGTCTAATGCTGAGGTATCGTCGAATAAACTATTTTATGCCTTTTATCACGTAAAATAAAGATTGTACCCATTTTCAGTAAAATTAATAAATGAATGGATAATAAATGAATCTAGTTGAGGTTTCAATCTAAATATTGTCATCTTAATGAAATAATGGATTTTTTGTACCTAAAACACAACTAAATTTGGTGATTTTTATTATTATTATTATTAATAAATTTTTTTGCCAACATCACTTCAGTAAAAAAAAAAACTTGCCGTTATTTTAAGTGGTTGACGATATGCAAGATTTTTGTAGAGATTGCAGAAAGCAGATCAGACTTCAAAAACGCAGAGACAGCATCAAGTGATCATCAATCGCCACAGGCAATTAAAAATAAAAAAAAAACTGTTCATGGAACAGTTTTATGATACTTTGGTTTGCTTGATGCCACCCAATAGACCATGCCACCCTGGGCAAAAACCCAAACCCCTCATGCTGCTGCTGACTGTAATTTTACGGGGACAGAAAGGCTGACAAGAAGGCTGCTGTCATTCTCTGGGCTTTTCGCCATCACAAAAGCGATATATTAGTAATATGCTTCACTTACAGAGGGCCGTCGTCAGGCCTCTGAAGTGTATGCAAATATTAAATAACAGCTCTCAATATGCAAACCCAAAAGTAAAGAAACGATCGGTCTGTGGATTCCTGCAACAGGAACTGGAGTGCAGCGTCGCTCAACCAAAACAGAGCAAAACAGAAAGAGTACAGTAGAGCACATCAACATGTAAGCTATTCAATGAAAGCACATACCCACCCATGAAAGTGCCTTAACTGTATACAAGCATCAACTTTACTTCTAATGCATTTTACCAGCTGAGTTCAGAGTGTTTTCAGTACAAAGCTGTTGAATTAAACCACTTCCGGCTGCATAATACAACATATTATATTTGTAAATTACTAAGAAATGTCAGGGCTCTTCGCTTCATTGTAAAAATACAACCGCAAGCAGGAAAAAACATGGGATTTTAAAAAGGTCCCAACAGCTCAGAGAAGGTGTTTTTTGTTTTTGTTTTCGCTAAACGTGATGTGAATATGGTTAACTCACAAAGAGATTCGAGGAAACCCAGGAAATACACAGCCGAGTTGGAGTTCATCCTTCACTTTCACACGTGAAAATGCCGGCCCAAAGAATGTAAGGTGAGCAGGCAATTAAGTTATTTACTAGTGCAAGGAAAGTGCGACATACATTG